ACTTGCTGCAAGACTTTGATCTGATTAAAGTGGTGCTTCGTCATTGAGTGGTTTATCAATTTTTTCATAAAATAGAATTTTCTGATTAGACAAAAAGAAGATCAATGGTCTCCACTTTTTGAGTATATCCAGGAGTCTGATTTTATTTTTGTAAAATGTTTCATTGAAGGGCTATTTATAAAAAGCCTCTTGACTATGATATGGAGATATTCTACCACTTGAGTAACGACAATAAAACTATCTTCTAGATATAATAGTCCATGCCACTGCTTCTTAATTACAGTTAAGACGTAGTATCAAGTCTACACTATGGCTGAAGAGAAGGTATGCATCCTGGAAACATTTTTTTAAATTCAGTGAATCAGTGCTGGACCTGGATTTGATTGTCCCCATGTTTCTGCTTGCTTCAGTGCCGATAAAGCAGTGCCTCTCCAGAACAGGAGTGAGTGAGAGAGAGGCCTTAGGTTTCAAGTGAGTCCTAGTGTATAAAATACAATGGCCCAAGAACCTAGGGGCTCTTGGGAACTTTTTGTTTGTGTCCAGGAGAATATGTTGTGATAGTCAATACATTCTGTGTACATTTGCTAATCACCACTTTAACTCAGATGCCGAGTTCTTCAAGCTTTGTAATTTGAAGTTAATAACATTTATGTTTTAATTGCATTATTTTTACATTATTTTCTACTTAAGGCAAATAGAGACACTTATCTATTTATAGCTTTAGAATTATATTTGCTTTTAATTAACTTGTTTAAGTAAATCTATTTAAAAGAAAAACCTCACTCCCATCGAGTCGAATTGACTCATAGCAACCCCTCCTTGGGTTTCTGACATGGTATCTCTATGGCAATAGATTGCCCAGACTTCCTACTGAGGAGTGACGGGTGGGTTTGAACCACTAGCCTTCTGGTTAGCAGTCAAGTGCCTTAGGCACTACACCACCAGACCTTCCAAGTCTTTTTAAAGTAGCAAGTCTATTTAAAGGAAAATATTAAGGAAATAAAAGGAGAGAATATTGCAGAAATCACCATAGTAGAATCATTATTAAAACAAAATGATCCTGTTAATCATTATTTAATGAGCATCCCACATCCAATAAAATGCTTAAAAAAAAAAAAAAAATGCTATAATGGACTCTAAATCCATTGCTCTCTGCGTAAATTGCATTTTTTTCCCAATTATTAACAGTGGGACATTGGTAATTCAGCTCTTTTTGTACCTCAGTTTCTTTGTCATAAATATAATGGAGATAAATAGCAATAACTTTGTATATAACACAGATGTTACAAAGTTCAGGGGAGAAAACCAGAAGCTGTATTAAAAGAGAAAAACAAGCATGGAATATTTTATCCAGGGTTGGGATAAATCTGTTTTGAAATGAACAGTGAAAATAATAATCATAATAATAACATGGTGGGAGAACCTGCTAGGATGAAGTGATCACAGAAGTGTGAGCAAGAGCCAACCCTGAGAAAACCAGGAGGAGTGTCTCTACAGAGGAAGCAGCGTGTGCAAAGTGCCTGAGGTGGAAAAAGTTGCTATTTGCCAGGAGTAAAAGTGCCTGGAGCTTGGTGGATGAAAGGGAGAATGGAATGAGGTGAGATAGGAAAGGAACTGAAGGGCCGGGTTATCTAAGGCTTTTAAATGGACTCTGACTTTTATTTAGAATGGTTAGGGATGCCATTGAGGCATTTTAAAAAGATGACTCCATCTTCTGTGTTGAAAAATAAGTTTGAAGGGGCAAGCTGGTCAGAGAAGCTAGTTTAGGGAAAATTGCAGAAATCCAGGCACCTAACAACAACAGACTAGATGTTTTCTCCAGTCTCTGTGATGTTACTGACCCGGATAATTTTGGGGCATTTTGCAAGGATGTGCTATCAATTAGCTTTCTTTTGAAAACCAAAAAGGAGGCGGTAAGTCACTGTTTTTCGATAGACATCTGGAATCATCTGGAATTCGACTGATTGATTTCGTCTGTGGACTCCGAAAGCACCAAAACAAGGAAGGGCTTAAAGTTGGCTCCTTCATGCATGGAAGTCAAAAATTCTGTCAGTGGTGTGCTGTGTGCAAGTGTTTTGATTTCAGAAGGGGAAGATCTTTATTTAACACTATATCATGTGTATATAATAATATAATTTTAAGGCACCTGCTTCATAATAGAAACTGGGATGTTAGACGTAATAACAATAAACAAAAATTAAACCAAACTGGGCTCAGTGCCCAGGAGAACTAACCAGACTCCAAGAACTGGGCAAGGGATAAACTGGTAGGCAAGAAAAGGCAGGAGTGGATGGAGTTGTAACTGCCTCCATTAAAAATGACAGATTTGTAGTACGATCGCATTTGAGAAATTCTATGGGGACATTCATCATGTGGGTGGGGTTCCTACCCTTCTCATTTCAGAGAAAAACTTCGAATGAACTTCCCTTCCTAAATGTCAGTCCTAAACATGTCAATAATATACAGTGATCTGGATTGTTTTTGAACTTACAAAATGCTGTAAATTACTTGGAAACAAATGGACCAGAAGTAAAAATAGGAGATCATAACAGCTTTAAATAAAGTTAGAAGAAAAGCCTTCATGTTTCCCATGATGCCTAAATGCTGTATGATTTACATAAACAAAGGAGGAAATCCTCTTTGTGTGTTTAGGGGTGTGTGTCTAATACAGGAACTCATGCTTTCCTGTTATTGAAAAGCATTCTTTAATCTTTTAAGCACATTTCAGGACCTGTATATGTTCCAGGTATGTTGTTTCCTTTAACATTAAAACATAAGAGCAGGACACATCTATGAGAGAAAACCTATCAGAGCCTCCCTTTGTTTCATAGAAGACACAAAGAAATAACTAAACTAAATGGATGGACAGAGCCTTAGGAAGACTGAACTTAGTAAGGGGATTGGGCACTCCTAATGAGACCAAGTTTATACTTGGAGCTATAGGCCAGAGGAGCCATTTGTGAATAGAAAACTATCAAATTTTCTCTCATCCTGTGTATTAACAGGATGATGACTTTTTAACCACAAAACTAAATGTAATTGGTATGAAATTTTCAGAAGCTTTTAGTCAAATATAATAGAAATAATGCATAATAAGCCAAAGCAGTATATCAGCTTAAAAAAAAAAAAAAATGTTGGTGGTGCAGTGCTTAAGGCATTTGTCTGCTAACCAGTTGTTGTTATGTGCCGTTTAGTCGGACCTGACTCATAGTGACCCCTCCTTGGGTTTCTGAGGCAGTATCACTACAGAAGTAGATTGTCTAACCTTCTTTCTGAGGAGTGGCTGGTGGATTTGAACCGCCAGCCTTGTGGTTAGCAGTCAAGTGCCTTAGGCACTACACTACTAGAACTCCTGTTAACCAGAGGTTGGTGCTTTAAATCCACTAACCACTCTGTGGAAAGAAAATAGGGCAATCTACTTCCATAAAGATTTACCACCTGGAAAACCCAATAGGGGTCACTATGAGTTGGAATCAACTTGACGGTAATGAGTTTGGTTTTTGTTTTTTTAAATTCTGATTGGGAACAAAGGGAGAAAATTTTACTGCAGGCATGAAAGTAGTCTTCAGTTCTGGAGTTGGAGAGTTCTTATCAGTTGTAAAGACATAATGCCTCACCTTTGCTTCCCCTTTCTGGTCCATGCTTTCCTACTTTAGTGTTCTCAGACACTGTAACTGCAGTAGGCTATTGTATGCATGAAAGAATGTTTTTACCACCAACCATGATAGAAGTAAGAGCTCTGGTAGTGTAGTGCCAAAGACACTTGACTGCTAACCAGAAGGCTGGTGGTTCAAACCCACCAGACACTCCTCCAAAGGAAGATTGGGCAATCTACTTCCGTAGTGATACTGCCTCAAGAACCCGAAGAGGGGTCTCTATGATCAGATCCAACACAATGGCTGTGGGTATGATGGGGTACTTTTGGTCCTTCATTCCTCAGGAATTCTTTTTGTCATCTGTTGGGCAGAGTTACTTGAAAATGTGGGATCTGTGGAGTTACTTGAAACACATATGTGTGTTTATGCCATTAATACACAGTCTTCAGCAAGTCAGTGCTTAAGATTGTAGTTATCACATCAATTTTCAACTTTTCCTAGCTGGTTTAGTAATGCCATTCCTATTTAATATTGCTAATTCCTACAGCTAGGGCTCAGGAGGAACTCTTGGGAACAGCTCTTCTAAAACACTGAATTACCTCCCTATATTTGCTTCTCTAGAAATAAGCAAATGAGAAATTTCAGAGTAACTGTCTCCTGGTGTCTATGTCTGACAGGTTCCACTGTCTGTCCTCAGCATGGAAGTGGGTGGGGAAAGAACTGACCGAGGCTGGGAGCAGGAACCTTGCTGGCCCTAAAGAGGCAGTGACAGAAATTCATCTGTCAGGGTGTACTCAGGTTGTCAGGCATATTCATAATCACACATAAACCAGGTACAAACTAGATGATATTTTAAAGCCAAATATTGAAGTTCTCTGGTTTTGTTTTGTTTTGTATGAGGTATTAGTCCTTATCACTAAAGCCTGAAATACTTACATTGAATTATAAATTAGAAATATGCATTATAATTTCCCATGGGAGCCAGTGACCTTCATTTCCTTTAAAATTCAGCCTTTCCCAAAGAACCCCACCTGAAGCCTGTCAGGTCTGTGTGCTCCCTTCCCTGCAGCCTGTAATTGTGCACTTGTAGCCTCTGTTAAAAGTGCTTAGTGGTAACTAGTAAGGTTGTTTCAGTTTGAATGGATGAAAACATAAATGAAATAGCTCTCACAATTGTAAACTCTTGAGAGCAGAGGTTATAACTCCTATTTCTTTTCAATTACCCTCATCAAACACTCACCCATTCATATTCCTCCCTATTCTCTCTTTCTCTTCTTTTTCTTCTCTGTCCTCTTTCTCTCTCTCTCCCTACATATGCACAATAGGTGCCATATAGAAACAACACAAAATGTGAAAACAAACTGACTTGCAGTCCTACTAATCTCAGTGGTCTTTCCTTGGCAGTGACAAACAAGAAACCTACACAGGCATCTATCACGAAGGTCAAACAGTTTGAAGGCTCCACATCTTTCGTTCGAAGATCACAGTGGATGCTTGAGCAGCTTCGCCAGGTTAATGGTATTGATCCTAATCGGGTGAGTGACTTGTTCAATGCTGAGTGAAGGAATTCTCTCACAAAATGATTCTTTCTGATTGACCTTGGTAGTAGTGGTGGTGATTTTAATCATTTTTTAACAAGGCTACTTCTCAATCTCAGTTGTGTGACTAAGACTTATGATTCCTTATAAATCTTTTCATCTTGTTTGATGGAGGAACCTAATGACATGTATATTGAAGAAATGTTGTCTGCAATAATATATTCATCAGCATTCACAGTACAAAAGGCAAAGTTCAGATTATCATGTCCTTGGTTATCATTATTAAGCAAAGCTTCATTTATCTCCTAATGCACCAATGATAAAGTTTATTCACACACACAAAAAATAAAATAAAGTAAATGAATGGAACCTTTAAAAAAATTATGCATTAGGATTCCATTGGATTGACCAAGCATTTTGTGGTAGAGATGTATTCAAAGTACTCACACATTTACACACACACACACACAAAAAAACACTAATATTGAAGAATAATAAAATGTATTGCAACTATATATATATACTACAGTAATACTGGGGATCTTTTCTACCAAAGTTTAGAGGCAAAATTAATATAGTTCACTAATGAGAACCTGAAAGACTATTTTTTCCAGTTTGGGAGACAATACATGGTCTGAATTCTGATACAAGTCTCTGTGTTTAGTTAGGCCACAGCAACTTCTGTGATGCTAACCTCCTGGTGACATCTATAAGTACTGTAAAATCTGAGATTTGCATGGTAAACAGAAAGTTGTGTGCGTTACATGTAGCTATATTCTAATAAAGATGGGCCTTATGAGTAAGACCAAAGTATTTGAAAAAGTTTGTATCTTTTTTTAGTGTTTAAACAAAGTTGAACTAAAAGCAGCAGTTTTTATAGATTGAGATCAATAGTTATCTCACTGTCTTTTCCAGGATTCTGCAGAGTTTGACTTATTGTTTGAAAATGCTTTTGACCAGTGGGTAGCCAGCACAGCCTCAGAAAAATGCACCTTCTTCCAGATCCTCCACCACACTTGCCAGAGGTACCTCACGGACAGGAAGCCGGAATTTATTAACTGCCAATCTAAAATTATGGGAGGTGAGTAGGCATTTGTGTGACTCTAGTCATCCTTCAACTCACTTTTACATAAGAAGGTAGATGCTCAGCAGAAGAATTAAAAACCAAAAAGAAACATCATGAAAACAGGGAATAGAAAATGAAGATACTTTAAGCTAGACAGCATGAAAACCATTCTAGAGAGTTGATGATATGCTAAATCTTGGCACAGTGATGTTTTCACTCTTATTCAAAAGCTGATCTTCTTAGTAGAATTAACCCCTTAGCTAAGATTTTTTTCTATTATAAGAAGAAAGCTGTCCCTTTATTAGAAAAACCTTTCAGTTTTTTTTTACTTGTCTGTTATTTCGTTGCAGAACATCACTTTCTGAGATGTTTATTGCTATAATTTCTCAAGATGTTTAAGAAGTATTACCATAAAAATTCATATAGATATTGCCCCTTTCTTTTGAATCGTAACTGGTCTCATTTGTTCCTTGAATTGCACACAGATCTGAGTTAGGAGCCTCGAGTGCCAGTGTTAGCAACATAATGAGGACACTTGAGAGGAGGCTTAGTACATCCCTTTTAGGTGACATGTCTTTTCAGGGAATTGAAACTGTGCCTTGCCAATTACTCTGTGAGTTGAGGAAGAATGTTTGTATCATTGGTCTTGATCTGTTCTCTCGGTTATGAAAGACTTAAAAAAAAAAAATGTACCAACTTTAAGCCTTAATCAAATGTCAGTTGAAGATCATATTAAAGGGCTTCTATCAGCTCTTGGGCTGCATGTATCTTTCATCTGAACATGGGACAGAATCCAATAGATAGTCCTAGCAAGTGATGGACACACTGCCATTTCACCATGTGTTTGCTCGATGGAGAAGACATTGTCCAATTATTTATTATCCTCTAAAGTGTTTGCCATTTCTCTTAGACAGGAAGTTACTTACATCAAAAGAGCCATAAAAGGTCTTCCTTAGGCATTGATGCCGTCTTTTATTGTATCTTCTCTATTTAGTCCTAGGAAAATAGAAGAGGTGATGCGTGGTGCATATTTTTTTCAAAGTGGCCACAGCCTCTAGTACAGAACTGAAAAATATTGGACCCAGATGTTTAAAGGAAAGGGAATATCAAAGGCTGACCCCTTACTATTTGGGAAATTTAATGAGATATAGCTTTATATAATGTCTGTGCCACCATTGTTTTTTTAAATGAATCCTGCTTTGAAAATCCAGACTTAACAGATTTGGCAGAACAGAAAGTTGACGCACACCAGGCTTAGGACCACAGATGGCCATGTTTTCAGTGAGTGGAAAGTTTGGCAGGAAATCCTAACCTTTCCACATTCTTTATTAGGAGGAGTTTGCTCTCCTCACCTAGGATCAGCTTTGTTTCTTAATCTCAAGCTTCTGCTATGAAACAGTTTCTTCACTGGTGTCAGGATGGTCAATACCTTGCACAGCTAACACTTAAGCACAGAATCTCTTATATAAATAAAGTGAGGCTATGGAATATGAGATTTCTGTTGCTCTTGGAGAGAGATTCCACTTGGGCATCCCCCTTCTCCGTGTTTCATCTACAGAGCAGAGTGGCCAGAAGCAGAACCAGTGAATGGGAACTACTGCACTTGCCCAGAATGGAAATGTGGTGTGGACTCTACTGGTCCTTGCAAGGGAAACACAGCCATCTCCTTCCTAGTAAGCTTAGAAATGGCCTTGATATCTCTCTTCTTTCTCCTCCATTAAGGAACTGCACTAAGAAGTTCTTCTTCTCTATTACATCAAAGCCTCTCTTTTCTTCTTTCAGAACAGGTCTTTTCATTCCTTCATTCACTCATATGATTCATGGTCCAATCATCTAATAAATAAATACCAGGAGCACTGCTGGCACTGTGGCTAGCTTGGCTGCTAACCTAAAGGTCTGTAGTTTGAACCTACTATCCACTCCAGAGTAGAAGGATGTGGCAGTCTGCTTCCATGAAGATTTATAGTGCTAGAAACTTAGAAGGCATCTCTATCTTATAAGATCACTATGAATTGGGATCGAGTCGACAGCAATGGGCTTTTTGTTTAAGTACCTACTATGTGCTCTGGTAACATAGTGCCTAAGGCAATTGACTGCTCATCAGAAGGCTGGCGGTTCAAACCCACCAGCCACTCCTCGGAAGGAAG